TTCGGGTTTTTCGAGTCTGTCCGAAGCGAAACAAGGCTCCTACGTGATTGCACAGTGGTTGGGTTTACAGGGTTCTTTGCCTCCGGCACAGATAGGGTTGGGGGCTTGGGCTTCGCACCATGGATACTGTCAGGCTTTGGCGCGTAGAGCGTGGCGAACACCTCCACCCCCACGGGGATATGGCTATACGATGGACGCCTGAAGACTTGGACTAGCATTTCGGGGTATATTCTCATAGCGAGGCACCCTGCTGAATTCCATGTGAGCATTGAAGGCTTAGGTTCTTGAGCTGAGAAACCATGAGCCCGAAACAGAAACCCGAAACCCGAATAGTATAGGGCTTATAGAGTTTTTTGACACTCAGTTTAGGGTTTAGGGTTTAGGGAGGCTAGCACCCCTCATAGAAGAATACCTGTTATGGCTTCGTGCAGGTTGCCCCAGGTGGAGGTGACCCAGGAAGCATTGCCAGCCAATGCTGGATCCGAAAACAACCTCGGTCGATGATGCCAACTGCTGGTGCAGAAAGTTAAGGGCAATTCTACGAGCCCGGGTTACGGGAGGCACGCCTGGCACATCAAACATGCAATGATTCCAAAACAAACTAGAGTATCCGGCAAATAACATGCCAAACTCAAATGACTGCCGCGATATTGACGCTGCCACCGGCAACAAGAGGCCCTGCACCATGAAACTGCAAGACAACAGTGCCTAAGTTGCAGCACTGGCTGTCAACCCCCGAAGACAAGGGGCCATCTGCTGCGGCGCTGATGCAGTGCAGTGCAATGCGCCGGCATCCACAAGCTGGCACCAGGATTCAAACCAGGTGCTCCCGTACCTCTCTGCTTCTGGTTTAGAGCTTAGCTCAGCTGCAGGGCCATCGTCAGCATCATTGTCAGCAACGCCGACGACGACAGTGCCACCACCACCACCGCCGCCGCCGCCACCACCACCGTCACCACCCACAACCTCCACCACTCACAACCACCACGGCTACCACAACCACATCCACAACCTTAGCCACGACCAGAACCAGGACCAACACGCGGACGACTCTGACGGGCACCAGCACTGTCACTTCGGCTATGGCAGTACGCGAATAACGACAAACTTGCGGAGGAATTGGTCGTACTGCGGAAACACAAGACGGCAAACTTCACAGTGGCAAAGATCACTGGCCCTGAATGCCTCAGCCCTGAGCCCTTTAACCTCGAACACGGAACCCGCAGCATCTGAAGAGGAACAGCCACCCCGGATAACTCACATCTCAAAACATCACGGCCCAGAGCCCTCTTACTCTTGCCGTCAATAAAGCCACAAAGCCGTAATTGTAGGAACCCTTTTTTGGAACCATTGCAGAAAATCTATTGCCATCGGTTTAGGGTTTCGGGTTTAGGGCCCCAGTAACCCCGTCAAGGAACCCTAATTGGCGCCCCCGGGCCCGACGCATCGTCCAAGCGGCGCGGTTTGGTCTCGGCCGCTGGAGGAGTCGAGGAGCCGGTCCCGCAGCCAAAGCGGATCCTCCAGGGGTTGGGGTTCAGGGTTTAGGGTTTATAGGGTTCAGGGTTTAGACTCTCACTCTCGCACGCAGCAGGCAAGGCTCCACACAAGTCCGTCACGCAAGGGAGGCTGAAGCAGGTGCACAGCGCATCAGCACCAGCACGAGTCAGCCCTACTTGCCTCCACAGCTTAAGACCGCCCAATGGCAGCCGCATGTGTTGTCAAGCATGTATACCACGTGGTGGCAGGTTCAGGGTTTAGGGTTTAGGGCTTTAGGGTTTCAGGGTTTCGGGTTTTCTGCATCCTAATTCGCAAGCACAAAGCCTGCGTGGCAGGATGGTGTTGTCTCGGGATTTAGGATTTAGGCTTTGGGATTTAGGGTTTGGGGTTTAGAAATCAGGGTTCGGGATTCACGGTTTGGGATTTAGGTTCTGGGGCGCAGCATTTCGGATGTAGGGTCTGGGGTTAGGATTTAGAATTCAGGAAGTGGGATTTACGATTTAGATATAGGGCCGAAATTAAAACTCTAAACCCCGAATCGATATAAAGTTGAAGGGTTTCGAGATCCATGGCGATAATAAATCCTACATCCTAAAAAGCACAGAACGTACCGTAATATGAGTAACTCAGCGACCTCAAAAGGTAACATTCTTATCAGGATTCTTGGCATCGGGAACCGTGAAACAAGTCACTCAAATCCGACCACGGTGGCGGGGCATGTTGCAGCATCATTCGAATGCGAGCTCTGCGCAACACTTCTGATAATTATTCAGAAATTAGAAACTCTGGCCCTAAACCCTAAACCCCTAAACCCAAAAAAACCCTAAACCCCCAAACCCCTAAAGCCTAAAGCCTAAACCGCTTCTTGAAAACCCAAAGAGCCCCAAAACCGGCGCAACTCAGCGCTCGGTGTTCCCAGAGACTCCAATTAATATCCCTTAATTAAGGAATATTCCTTAAATATAGTAGGAGCCTTACTATGATTTAAGGGATGTTGCTTAATTAAGGTATATTGGAGTCTCTGGGCAGCGCTCGGTGTTGCGACCTCCTCGAGACGGCGCAGCGCAGCGACGATCTCCTTCGGGGTTTCCCTTAAGGTTTAGGGGTTTAGGGTTTAGGGGTTCAGGTGTTTAGGCGTTTAAGTGGTTAGGTGTTTAGTCTTCCGGGATTTTGGGTGGGGTTTTGGGGCTTAGGAGTGGCGGACCGGGGGCAGGCTTTTCTCAGAGTTCTGCTTCAAACAGGGTTTAGGGTTTAGGGTTTAGGGTTTAGGGTCTCAGAGTTGGGCTTTGGATTCTCGCAGCTTCCCCAAACCCTGCGCCGGTGGATGGGTGGCAATGGCAATTACGATAAAGGGGGTTTCGCAGCAAGACGGCAAAAAAATCCATGAACTCCCAGAAGAACACCCCCAGGCCGGTATGCCACGAAGTCTCTCCGAAACCCAAGCCAAAGATCTGAGCAGCTGCCGGGCTAAGGTTTTGGCGTTGAGGCCAGCAAGCCCCAACCCTCAAGGAAGTCCTCTCCGGTGTCTTTCGGTTTAGGGTTTCGGGTTTAGGGTTTAGGTTTGAGGAATCTCGGCTTTGTAAATTATGTGTTGGAGTAGTAAGGCTTTGTTAAGGGATTGGGGTTCAGGGCTCGGATCGAATATGGAGGCCTTAGCCTTCAGGACCAGAAGAGAACCCCTGAAGTTCCTCAACAGAGATATAATAGAATATCACCCCTAGCCCTGCTCAAACCCTGCTCTAGACCTAAACCGCCACTTAAATCATATCAAGGATCCTACTATAATCTAAGGAATACTCCTTAAGTAAGGAATATTGGAGTCTCTGGGCGTTATTCAGGCCCCTACATTCCACCTCCAAGATCCTACCCCACACTTCCTCCAGACGCTCCCAGCGCTTTCGCTCGGGTCCTGCCGGAAATGGGGTGTGCAGTGTGCAGGGGTTTGGGGTTTGCACTTAGGGATGTTAGGCTTCAAACTTCTGACGCTTATTTGCGATGAAGTTCCGAATTTGAAGAGCTTCGGTGGCCGATGAAATGCAAACGAAGACTTCTCCCGAGAACACGCTACTGATGCTTGCGCGCGGCGAGCGAATGCACAATATCAAGCCGACTGGCTGGATGAACGAACATGCTTATTTTCTCAATTGCTATGATGACCTTGCACTTTCTGATGTCAGTAGTATTATGACGAAAATCACGCAGCGATATGAAGCAGCAGACCAGCTCATATAGGGGCCTTAATGGTTTTGGTGTACATTATACTAGTTATAGTCAGGAACCCCCAAAATTGTATAGGCAATTAATTATTCAGGCCCCTTTATTAGGAACCCCTCCAAGCAACTCCTTGTTCTGCTGCCCCCCGGCCTCCACACTCCGTCTCCTGCACGCGCCTGCGTAGGAACGCAGCCTCCTCCTGTCGCCGGCGGGGTTTAAGGCTTAGGGCTTAGGGTTTGCTGCATTGAAAGCTTCGGAGTCGGGGGCAAAACCCTAAACCCTAAACCCTAAACCCTAAACTCAACCCAAAACCCTAAACCGCAAAAGGGCGCCTTTCCGCTTAGGGTTTTGGGGTCTCGGATGTAGGGCTTGTGGTTTTTCCTAGGAAGCCCCGTGAATTCGGATGTCGAAGCCTCCGGACCCGAGAAAACCGGAGTTCAAACCCCTGAAGTTCATCTTCCTATGAGAGTTTCCGAAAATAAGGGGTACCTTCTTTTGGGGTCCTTATAATAGGGATCCTACTGTTTAGGGTGCTATATGTCCCCTATTTTCGGAAATCTTCATATCCCGCCGACCATACATCTGGAACCAAACGCTTTCAAGGCCTGGCAGTGCAGCGCAAGGACATACCAAGGGAATACATAATCCGGTACCAAAAAAACATGGTAGAATACAAAAATCTAAGACAAGTTGATATAACAAAATATTGAAACCCTTTTGCAACAGGCTTTCCACTTCGCCCGGAGTTGGAGCCCTAAACCCTAAACCCTTTTTGCATCCGGGCTTGTGACGTCGGCCGGGGAAGGTGACAGGCAGCCCCTAACCCTAAACCCTAAACCCTAAACCCTAAACCCTAAACCCTAAACCCTAAACCCTAAACCCTAAAGCCCCTAACCCTCAACCCTAAACCCTGAAATCATAGCAGACCACCCGAACCAAACCTTCTCGAAGGCGGGATCGACAGACTCCAGGAAGGCTGGGCTTTCCCTGGCAAGTCGGCCCTGAACAAAGGAACAAGGACAAACAAACCAGACACTCGGAAACAAAGTTTAGGGTTTTAGGGTTTAGGGTGTAGGGTTTAGGGTTTAGGGTTTAGGGTTTAGGGTGTAGGTTTAGGGTTTAGGGTTTAGGGTTGAGAGTTTACCTCGGCAGGGTTTCGACGCTCACACTCGGACAATCCAGGCGAGGCATATGATTCAATGTCCGCTGAGTAGTGGAGACAAGGTTTAGGGTTTAGGGCTTTGTTGACGCTCACTCTAAAATGAGTTTAGGGTTGAGGTTAAACCTGGCTAAAACGCGAAGTAGAATCTGTAGAACGCTAGCTCGGCCTGCCGACGCTGTGCGAAGAGCTCACCACCGCCAGCGAAGTTCTGGGAGATGGCCAAGACCTGCCTCAGATCGAACGACGTACATTCGCAAACCAGCAACCCTCAACCCCTCAGCCCCTTTATTTCCTTGGACCACCTACCGAATCCGAAACCATAAAACTATTTCCGCAAGAAGACTTACTACAGTCGGACGACAATGATAAAGGTTGGTGCTTCTTGGTCCCGTGAGCTTACCCAACATGCAAAAGTTATTGCAAACGCTACTGTCATCGCGTGATTGCCGTGATCACTGATCGCAAGGCTACGTATCAGCATTTCAGCGCTAACTCAACAGCTCTAATATAGGGGCCTTAAATAATTAGAATAGAGGTTTGGGGCCCATTATACTACCATTATAATAAAGAACCCCAAAATAGTATAGGTAATTATCGAGGCCCCTACATTACATTCTGTCACGGCCGCCAGTCACTCGAAGAGAATGGCCCAGCATCGTCACCAGTTTCATGCCCGTCATCCCTGTTACATGTAGGGGCCTTATAATTAGAATAGGGTTTCGGGGTACAATATACTATAATTACAATAAGGAACCGGCAAAAAAGTATAGGCATTATTTAGGCCCCTATATCACATGTACCTTCAGAGCTATCTGTGTTCGCGTTGCCCAACAAACACAGAGGAGGAGGAGAGGAGGAGAAAGAAAGAAGAGAGCCCTAACGAATAAGCTCCCAACGCCAACAAGCCAAACCGCTGAACTTCAACCGTGCCAAAACCTTTAACCCTGAACCGCACGCCTCAAGGCTAAACCCCAGACCCAAAACCCTTAACTCCAAGGTCTAAAACCCCGTAAGCCCCAGGCAGCACCAAAATCAAGGCCTAGTGAAGGGCTGATGGATGATGGAGGTATTTTATAGGTATAGCTGATATAGGAACGACTAGCGGATATGAATATTGTCATTACAGATTGGTCAGGTCTCGAACCCAGAGACTCCAACATCCTTTAATTGAGGTGTATACCTTAAATCATATTAAGGATCCTACTATAATTTAAGGAATATATTCCTTAATGAAGGGATATTGGAGTCTCTGGGTCTCGAAATGGCCGAGAGTGTCCCCCGGACCTGCTCCGGAGCTTTGCGGAGGGGTGTTTATTCGAGCGCGGATGTAGGGCTGAGGGATTGGGGGGGTTGAATTATACTATGGGCTTTAAGGTCTATAAGGTTAGGGTTTAGGGTTTAGGGTTAGGGTTTAGGATTTAGGGTCTGGGTTGTAGGCTAATCGTTGAAGGGCGGTTTGGGGTGCAACTCACGCAAGACCTTTTGCCAGGAAGACTGCTCTCTGCCTATCGGACCTACCTGAAACCCTTAACCCAGCAAGGCACATCCGATCCGCGTCCAGGGCTTTCTGCAAAGCATCGCCGCAGCCCTCGACATCGCCCATGCCCGCGTAGGTCAAGGCCAGATTATACCTCGCGGCTTCTTGGTTGCAGAGGCTTCCTAGGTTTCGGGTTTAGGGGTTTCGTGGGTGTTTTTGTCCGACGCGCCTTCGGCATACAGGTGGGAAGAACTATCGAACACATACCGGGCGAGAAATCCTACACCCTTTTGCAACGGCCTTGTCAGATCTCGACCGGACTGATAGCCCACAGCAGTGACTTCAGATAATCCTACTACACCCTAAACCCTAAACC